CATTCTTATGGGGAATATAATTGTTATTGAAGAACATGTTTATATATATATATATATATATATATCGGTCCAAATTTCAAAATTGAACAGGATTTGTCCAGCGATCATGTCCTAGTACTGACGAGGTTCTGAAAGCAGAGAAGACTCACTTGTGAGTGAAGAAAATCTAGTTGGGGGTGAATTTGGTGATCTTTAATTGCCGAAGACATGACTGTAGGCGACAAAGCAAATCTTGATAGGCCGCAAGCAACCAAGGTGGGAATAAAAAGACCTGATTGACCATACAAGCAAGTTTACACGGCAAGAAGAAGCTTATACCTAAGCTGGCCTGTAAATGTCCATAAGATATATGCTTGACACGTCAAGGCTCCAGGCACTGTATTTTTCTTCTTATTCCATGGCAAAAAGGACATCCAGAAAGATGAAAAGACGAAATTGTGTTCAGAAAAATAAAATGGAATTTTAAGGTTCTTTTATTGAGAAAGCTTGGTATATATATATTTAGCTAGTGTTCAAGCTTTTAAGCGTTGAAATCCCGAAGAACTTCGAAGAATTCGTATCATATATCTATATATATATATATATATATGTGATATATGTGTGAGTGTGACACTTATACAAGTCAAAAGAAGTTATCATACCTCACAGCCAATCACAATATTACACATACCCCTTGGACGCAACCCCAAAATTGAAAAGATTAAGGGGCCACTGAGACGTGCTTTTCATGCTTTGCTTTGGTGCAAAGAGATGGACTCGTTGATTTCTCGTGGGGTGGACATCTGGTACTGTGGCTTTCGGTTGACACTAAATGTCGGAATTTGGAATAATGTGACCAGTGGATGAGAAAAAGAATGGAAGAAGAAATAACTCAATCCAACAGCATTTTATGTTACGACTTGAATCAACTTAGCAAACCCAAAAGGACCACGTATATTTTTGGAAATTTTGTTCCTCGCAATCTCAATGTCCATCGTTGACCAAAAAAAAAAAAAAATCTCAATGTCCATCTCCCAAGTCCAACCCTTCAAAGTACAGGTCAAATCCATTCTCACTCAAAAGCTCCAACTAAAATCAAGATTTAAAAAGGAAAAGAAATAGTGTTTAGTATGTATGCATAAAATTAAATATGACAAATTCAAATTTAGCCAAGTTGGTTAAAGCATATTACTCTTCTCTTTATATTTAAATTTGAATCATCTTCACTATAGTTTAGAAACATTTAGTATAAAATATCATTTGTATTGAACAAATTAAATGTGTCCCAGACACCAAATGACATGAAATCAATTTCCCACGCTCGGATAGCCTTTGGAAAGGGCCAAGAGGCAGGCAGAGTGGGGAGTCTGAGCAATGGCAGAGTGACATGTGATCCGTGCTTTTTTATTTTGGAGATAATGAATGGAACTTGATGGGGAGAGAGGAAGTGCATAATTATCAACGGATAGATAGATATCGAGACCCATCATTGAACATGGACGGCCTACGTTGGGCCATGCAAATCCCCTTCCCCACGAGAATATATTCCACGACAATATAACTTTGATGATTGAATCATGCAGAATACTATTTCTTTTACGTACAGATGTAGTGATATATGAATCTACTGCAGGTCGCTGATTGGCTATAAATAGAGGGCTCAGCACTCAGGAGCATTTGCATTGGACCAAGACGAATAGATATATATGCTTATATTATATCATAACTGATGAGGGAAGAAAGGTCCTACATGAGGATAAAGAGCCGTGTTTTGTAGCCAAGGATGACTTGCCTGCAACCTCCCAAAGGCCTCTGAAAAATTTATATGTACTGTGAGAGATATGCTTGGTTAGCTTAGCCACTGTTAGCTAAGCTAGCTAGCTAGTTTGCTAGGGTTTAAGAATCCTTGTGTGGTATACAGGCAGTCTCCTTGGCTATCGAGACAGGTTCTTTTCTCTCATGCTGGGCCTCTTCTTCCATGGGTCTCATGCCATTTTCTACCAGGATAAGAACTTCTTAAGGAACTCTCAAGGAAGAAGAAGGTACATATTTGATTGTTTTCCTAATATTTGTTGTGACAATTAATTAGCATTTTTGTTGATTTATCGAAGACTAATGCAGGACAACCTTACGCTTTTAGTTGGTTAACTTTTTGCGTGTAATAGGCAGTTAAATCGTATAGATTTGTTGCAATCCTAAAGCCACGCATGAATGAGAGCATGGGTTGCTGTAGTCTGCAACTCGACCTTTCCTTGTATTTTTCATACGGAATTTGCTTAATTAAATTCTTGTTTTGCTTGTGGTGACTTATGGATCCTAATGCTCGAGATCTTTTGGTCAACAGGAGCAATGTGGTATCCGATATATGCTTTATGTTGCAATGTTGCATAGATTATAGATTAGATGTGGTATATAAAACTAAATTTTTGAGAAATCGTCAGAATTGTGTTCTACTTCGGTTGTGTTTCGTGTTTCCTTCGGTTGGAGGAGTTTGAAAGAAAGGATTTGAATATGATCAAAGGTCTAAATTATCTATACAAAGGAATGAAAAAACCTGGAAAACATTGTGTTCAATGTATTTGAAAGGGTGGTGATATCCACATACCTTTTTTTGCTTCCCACATACTCCTAGTTAATTTTTATTTGATTTTCTTCAATTCATTTGATTTAACAACCAAAAATTTAAAAAAAAATGTATGAGAAATGTGAAAAGAGGAGTGTGAATAGCACCAGCCTATTTGAAAAAATATGATGGCCAAACAATCCAACTTGTGGAACATACTACAACGGCACAACCCTAGGTAGCGAAGAGTCGACATGGAGGCACCCAACCTTCTCGTTAATGTGAGTTTTTGGAGAGATCAGCTTGCTATCCTACAGAAACTTTCGTCATTGCTTTACGGGTGGGTCTTGTAGTAAATTCGGGAGCATTTGAAATCCATTTATTTTCTCTTTATATACGAATTGTAATGATACACAAAATTTTATCTTTTTTTTAGAACTTTGGCGATACGATGGCAATTTATTGATATGAAAAAGAAAAAAAAATTTGACATAATCAGGCTAGACATAAACTTTACCCCTCATATGGTAGAAAGCAAAATACAAGAAAAAAGAGGAAAGACATACATCTTACCCCTCTTGAAAAAGAAAATACAAGAAAAGGAGGGAGCATAAATCTTACCCCTTTTGAAAAAGAAAATACAAGAAAAAGAGGGGGACATAGGACCAAACCCCTCTAAAATAAAACCTAAAACGTAAGAACTTGTAAGACAGGTGGCAAAACAAAAGGAAACTCCAAAATGATTAGGTAAAAAAGAAAATCATACATCAAGAAGGGTAGATAAACATGTAGGCTAGCATGCCTAAGAAATCTGAATGTAGAAACGGAAGAATCTCTACAGGAGGAGCAACATGCAAAACAAGGGAAGATGAGACAAGCCATAAATTGACTAATTTGTTGGTAGCTGTATTCCTGTCTCGAAATGTATGACAGTAACAGAATACCATATGCCCTAAAATGGTTATTTGAAGTTTGAGGTGTGACACAACTCTCCTAGGGCTGCTGTAATTTTTTACTAAATTTTAGGGTCTCATTTCAATTAAATTTTTAATTACCGAATCGGTAAAACCATTCCAATTATGACTTGCTCATTAAAAACTTAATTAGATTAAGATTCTTAAAATTTATTTGGTTTAAATTCAATAATGATTTGAGCATTTGATTCTCAAGATTATCCTAAATGGTTTAGAAGAAGAGTTAAAAATTGAATTTTAATTTGGATCCCTATCTTGTAGAAAACGTATCCCTACAAGAAAACCTACTTAATTTGCTCAACTCTCAAACGAGTTCATGCAAGTTCAAGGTGTAAACAATCATACTACTAAAGCATTCAAGTTCATGTGTATCAATCAAAGTTCGATGTTAAAAGATGTTTAAAAAAATGTTTTGGTGAATTTAGAGGATTTCATAATGTATTGTAGGCCGTAACAAATTCAGTCTCTCCCCTTGCAATTTTGAAGAAATTGACTAAAAATTCACATGAAGTTTATGAAAGTCCATTAGAACTCCATCATAAGATGTCAGGGCCTTCAACAACGCCCATGGGCTAGCGTTCGTCTGGTCTCAAAGAACTCTCCGTTTCAAAAATTTTGGTTTGAGATAAATATAAACGAATAAGCTTCGAGTATTAAGAACTTATGCAAGGTGCTTGTAACTCAATTAAGAAAGAGCATTTCTTGCACTCCAAGTCCTGAGTTTGATTTGCGCCTCTCCAATATCATTTGTATAAAAGTTAAGAAAATTGGTAAGATAGAGAATTCCCACCGTTTTCAGTAACTGGGACTCAAAACTCTCTAGTCCTACCCAACTTCTCAACTTTCACATCATTCTTAGTTTTAGGCTTACTTTCACACCTGACATTGTCGATTTGAGATTTTGAGATACCGAAGCAAGGTCCAAACCCTAAGCTAATACACACATTTCCTTTGGTTTAAGCACCTACACTGCAAGTCTGCGAGTACAATCCCTTTTCTCATGCTGTTTTCCGATGAACATATGAAAAGCAAGTTCCAATGATAGCAACTTGAATCACAACTGATGTACATTCCGATCTCATGCCATAACAAGACATCTGTTTTGATAATTGACAAAATTTGGCACAAGGTACTGCATAATTTGATAATATAGCTTATACTGCAGTTGTAATCATCGGAACGAGGCAGGAAGTTTCACATAATCCAGCATCCCAATTGCATGTAATGTGAACTAACCATTGCTCATGATGATTGCAATATTGCTTTTCAAGGAATGCTACTTTCAAACATTCCTATAGTTCCTAACCATTTCAAAAATTAGCACCGTCGCGGTTGAACAAGAAGTGCAACATAACCCTGCCGAGAACTAGACCCTAAACACTAGACCTCCGAGGACTGGTTCGGAACCTTATTGATGAACCTAGCATGTCCCTCAAACAACTCACAACTCCCATAAAAACACTTGCAACACAACAGCATGCACGTACAAAATTAGCAAAAGCATTTTATTAAAAGCTTGCACATATTTAAAAATTACAGTCAAACTGCATTATTATGAAGCCAAGCCACCATTTTTCCAAACTCCATATAGATGCCATAGCCAAATAGTAGTTCAATGCAGCATCTTAAAACTATATTTATCTACTAACACATCTTTAAAGGTATACGGGGTTCAAAGAAGCAGAGAAGAAGCCGCATACAAAGTGTGAAATACAGATCATCATGCAGGCAGTGCAAAGCTGTGCTCTGTCCAGTGTGGAGGATCCGCAACAATGCAAATATCCGACTTCTCAAAATCAGCAACCTACAATACAACCCATGTCGAATTTCTAAGCAAAAATGAGAAGCAACATAAAAATTTTGAAAGTGCACAGCACAGAGCACTCATAGGTGGGTTTTCAACCGTGTTTGGTAGAAAAATTGAAAGTGCTTATGGGTCATAGAAGTGTTTTCAGAAGAAGCACCGCACTCTTCCAGAAAGCACTTGAACTTTTCCAGAAAGCACTTAAACATTCAATAAAAATTTCGATGTGTTTCTAATAAAAGCCCATCCAGCAGAAGTCCTAATGAGCAAAAAATCTAACATGTTTCTAATAAAAACACGTCTAGCAAAAGTGATTGCCACCGAATTAGCCCCAAATGTGTCCTGAATAGAGAGAGTCGTCTTACCTTCTCTTGGCAACTGGGACAGTAATGATACTTATGCCAGAGGCAGTCACAGGAAGGCATAAGAAAGCAACATCCAAGCATCATAGGCATCATACAAGCCACCACAGATGCCACACTCGGCTTTGATCTGTCGATTCATTCAACACCAATAAACATCAATCAAACATATCTCAAGTTTCAAACTTTGAATAATCAAGAACACAAAATCAAACCCAAAATCCCAATTGCCCAAAGGGATCAAATTTTGTTATTTACCTGACTTGGGTGAGTCCGGTATCGCCACAGTAAGCGCAGTTGAAGGGAGCGGGAGTGTCTCTGTAAAAGGTCTGGTGGAGAGGGACGCCCTTGGGGTCGCCGTAGACGGCGTTTGGCGGGATCATTCCGGCCTGGTGCGGATTCTGCACCGTGTAGACTGGAACTCCCATCACCGGTTCGTCCACCTTCGACATCTCTGCCTTTGTTCGTGACTTATGAGTGCGATGAAATCCCGCGATCTTGTGAGTGGTCTGGTCTGGATATTGGAATCGGAATTGGAAGCGATTCGAGGGAAGATGGAAATTTGGTTTTCTTGTGGTGACTAGAATGTCCTTGGGCTCTATCTATCAATGGGATCCATTGAGTTATATATCTTCTAGAGAGAGTAGTGACTAATCAAACCCGCGGCCCAAACCCCCCAACAATGAACTTTCCAAGTTTTCTTGCATTAATTGCCTCTCTTATCACATCCCTTAATCATCTTGAATCAAATTCTTTAATTTACTTATCAGTTGTTGTAAGCCTATTTAACTGAGAACTTATAGAGAGGGAAAGAGGGGTGCCGGCAAGGAGAGAAAGAGAATTTGGTGAATTTTGAGATGTGTATTATCTTACTCTCATTGTGCCTATAAATCGCTTACCTTTTAGGTGTTACAACTAAATCATGACACTATCTAAAAGATATCATAGAATCTTATTAGGATTTACACAATTACATTCCTAACCTAATTAGGACAACAACACTCCCCCTTGAGTGTGTAAACACTCAAACAAATTGTCGCATTAGGTATCAGTGATAAGTAAGTTTAGTTGATGAAGTCGTCGGCACAATGGCGAATATGAGTCTCAAATTAACAAAAGGATGCATTGGTAGTAAAACTCACAAAATCTTGCTATGGTAAAACCCGATATGGGAATAAAACCTATAAACTAAGGAGAAACGTGAGAAGCATGCATAATGTCAAAACTAAACGTCTAAGGGATGAAATTAGGACACGTCACAAGGGTCCAACCATCCCAATATGGATGCTTTGTTAAAACCTAGTTAGGTAGCAAACCCAGTTGGAAAAAATCCTTCTAATTGTAGGAAAAAGAGTACATTAAGATCGAGTAAATATACTTTTGGATATTTTTGATAAAACTTCCAAAAACGAGAACTACATCAATTCATATCAAATAATTTAAGTATACATATTCCTTGGACGAGCTTTTGAATAGTAGATTTTGGTTATGACTTCGTCAAGAGATCAGCAAGGTTGTCCTAGGAACGGATTTGCTTGATTTCAATGTTTTGATACTTTTGTTGCTGACGTGAGAAGAAGAATTTCGATGCAATGTGCTTGGTGTTGTCTTATTTGATGTATCACTTCTTAATCTGGTCGATACATGTTGCGTTGTCTACATAAATCGTTGTAGGAATGTCAACGACTAAAGAAAAATCTTCGGTGTTTCAAATATGTTCCAATACTACCCTCATCCAGAAGCGTTCATGAGTAGCTTCATACAGGCCAAGAATCTCAGCATGGTTTGAAGAAGTTGCAACTAAGGTTTGCTTGATGGACCTCCAAGATATTACAGTGTCTCTAACGACAAAGACATAACCCGTTTGAGGGTGTGGCTTATGCGAGTTAGATAAGTAACCTACATAATGTAACCAACATGGTGAGAATCAACCAGAGGACCATAAGGGCGGCGGTTCCTCTCAAGGATTTGTATAGGTAGAACACGCCCAATATGTCATACCTTTAAGGTAGCAGAAGATGTCTTTAACACCAGTACAGTGTCTGCGTGTAGGCGTATTGCTATATCTTGGCAAAAGATTAACAGCAAAGGAGATATTCGGTCTAGTGCACTAAGGTAAGTACAATAAAGCACCAATTGCACTCAGGTATAGAACTTTGGGCTCCAAAACCTCCGTAATTTAGTATAACCTCATGCGTAGAACAGTTGAGTAAACGATGGTCGGATCCACATTTGGCTCATTACTTTGTGCCCATTTCCTCTTTTGGGGTTGTGAATCATTTGAAGCAATTGGTCTACCACACTTCAGGGTAGGAGCATATGATTGACTAGCTGCCAATGTCCCGGGCCACACAACAGTTGGGTTGACCTCCATTCCTGAACGGCTCGTCCTTCCTACGCCATATTACGGCGTACGTTGGTATGTTTATCCTTGCAGGTGCATTTGCAGCAAGTATTATGATCTCGCCACCTTTGTTAAATCGGTAAAAGTATTTGATATGCTTTGAGCAATGCTTTATAGATCTAGAATACGATGCACTTAAATTTCAGACTAGGCAGTTCCGGGATCTAAATGAGACATAGTAAGGGGTAATCCATGACAATTTGAGGTATTCTTCAGGAACGATAGCATTCTTATCTCCCTCTAACGAAAGGAAGACTATCTCATCGAAATGAGAATCCACAAAGCATGCGGTAAAGAGATCGTCTATCAATGGATCAGTAAGAACTAAATGTGTATTAGCCACAAGATTATATTACTTTACATCCAAAGGCTTAAATATTTGACAAGTTAATAAAGCAAAACAAAAAAAGAGTTTTCTAATGGTTCATGGATTTTAAATTGGTTTTGTTTTATTAAGTTGTCAAATATTTTAAATCTTTGGATCTAAACTATTATAATCTTGTGGCTAACATGCATTTAGTCCTCACATGTCCTCATTTTGAGGACCTTAGGAGAGCATAACCACAAGAAAGTGATGCATGAGATTTGGTGAGTCCTAGTTTTATTAAAAATGTGATGTAATACACATATATAGTTTCTCAACGTTGGATTCAACCATAATCCCTAAACCCGCCAAAGGACTAAAAATAATCCATAATAATACAAATATAGTCAGATGTAAATTGATTAAGAAAGCATATTTATAGAGAAGAGCAGTTTAGGTGCCGTGCAAGAAGCTTTATGGAGCTGCCCTTCCAATAAAACAAGGTTTGTTCCACAATATGCATATTAAAAAAAAAAAAAAAAAAACAGTATAGTGCGTGCGCACCCACCAACACCACCAGAAGAAGCAGCAGCAGCAGCAGCAGCGAGGGGCACGCCCATGGGCCAAGGCCACTAGCAGTCTAGCACTTGGGCATGTTCCCTTCACCCTCAAATAAAAATGATAAAAATAAAAAAACTCATCGCTATATGTGCAGAGAATGAATTGGAAATCTCAATAAAACATACCATCATTATTCTATAATCTTCCTTTAGCTTTCATCGCAATTAACCTTAATTAATAACTTTTTTTTCACTCAATTAACTAGTTACGCTTACCATATTAAAATAATGTGATGTTGCAGCAGAGAGGGACTGCATGTGTTGTACATATTTAGCCGTTGTCTAGCTAAAGTTCTCACATGCTCAACACAACCAAACCATATTTGACCGTATACGTACGTACCACATGCAGATGCAGTATGACAATTGACACTCAGTTGTATCAATGAGTTTGAAATAATAGTTCTTGTATACATGTGTATGTATATTGTTTGTTTTGTCCAATTCAGATGGAGCTGATTTTTTTTTAGGGTTACGAAATTTCCTTCAATTTGACGCGTTTTATCACGAAAACTGTGAAGATATGTTCATCTTCTTGTTTACAGAAATTTGAAATGAATTATGTAGATTTTTTTTAAAGGATGAATTTGAAAAATGGATTGCGATGATATCCGTGATGGATTTCTGAATCTGCATACAAAAACAAAAGCAGTGGAACATCCCAAGGACTCCTTCGCTTGTCGCAGCAGCAGAGGGAATATTAATGGAGAGAGAGAGAGACGGGGTGAACTGCTGCTGCTGAGATGGTGTCAGATACAGGAGGAGGAGGGAGGACTGGTAAAAGTTGAGTGAATAGATTCCTCAAAGAGGAAAAGTCCGAGTCATATTGGGTGTCGAAGTTCCCACCAGTAAGTGACCAGACTTACCTTGCAATATTGCCAACGGCCCCCCCAAAACCCATGAGCCTCATAAGCCATCACGTGAACTTGCATATACATCAACAGAAAACCCTAATCGCTATCTTGCACCAGTAATATTGCTGCCTTTCTTCTAACACCATACATGATGAAAATAATAATGTTTACACATTAATTTTCTCTGAAGGTCCACTCACGCTTCGGTTTATTTTTAAACTTCTGAATCAAATAAAACAAATAAGAATTAAATTATATAATAAGCAGAGTGTATAAAAATAAGAAAACTTTAACGAAAATATCCTGGTACGGTTAACTCTAACAAAAAATCTCATTTTTAGACTAAAAAGTCAATCATGATACTATTCACTTTACCCTTTATTTTGTCTTTATTGTTAAAACTCAAAGTTTTCAAGTTATTTTCATTAGTTTTCCTTAAAAATAAAACAATGATGTGCAGAAATTACTTCTAAACGTAATACACGTATAAATACTTAATTAGTTTTAACAATATTTATTTATTTATATTTTTTTAACAAGCAATGTTAGCCTCACAATAAACTAGCAATAATGTGGTTCAAATTTGTCATTGACGAAAATCGAATCTAAAACCTCTCACTTATCCGTAAACAAATAAAAAATAATACCAACCACGGTACCAAAAGCAGCATTTATTTATTAATATTAGCTTAGTTATATAGAGGAACAGGCTTGCAGCTCCCCCAATACATTCGCTCTTCCTCTGATCTCTTACTTATATGCGAACTCGTCCTTTTGTTTGTGTCCACTATTTCACATTCTCATCAAATTTTCTACGAGTTTATTAAATAATTTGTCTTGAAATAAAATAATATACTGTTAACATTCTCTCTTTAAAAATGTTAAAGAATCTACATTTTTGTATGAAGAGTTAATATTTGAATCTTAATTTTATATTTCATTAAAGATAGAAAAATGGTAGAGAAATTATATTTGTGTACCACATTGGTGTCTTACTTGATGTGGTAAGTGATGTATACTTGACACGTCAATTTATAAATACTTGACCAGTCAATTAATAAATTCTTCTGATTGACTAATAATTGTATGAATCATTTGCTAGGTACACTATTGTATTATAAATGTGTGATCTCCCTCACGTTACTCTTAAAATAAATACTAACTTTAAGAGTTGGAAATTCAGAGTAATTTGACTATCAATTCTCAAGTAATATATGTGGTCCTACACTCCTGAACTTATGATATTTACTGTTTATAATCCTTGATTAATTGAACACCATATGCCTAGGTTTGACTCTAACGTCTAAGTTCGAGTTCTGGTGTTAGAAACCTCCTTTTGGTGGGCGAACTGTAAATATGAAAAAAAAAAGGGATTGAGACCCTCTTTATAAGTTCGCAAAGAAACTTGTGGTATTTCCTAACTCTAAAATAGGGTAACATCCTCTACCCCTAAACTTGTTTTTGAAAAAGGATAGTGCTTTTGCTTTTTTATTCATGAAGGATTTCATGGTTTGGCTGTAATAGTCATGAATAATAAATCTAAATACCATGTTTTGACTTTAAATTCATAAACTTTACAAACTTTAGGGCGTGTATTCAATTGAGAATTTGAGAGATTTAAATGGATTTTATAAATCCATGAATTTTTATGGAGTTTAATTGATTTATAGGGATTTCATGCAAAATTTTGATTCAATTTTGTCGAAATCTCATGGGAGGTGAGATTTGTGGATACTTAAAATACACTATGAAATCTCTCAAATTATCTCTAATTCCTCAACTTTTTCAAATTTTTTAAAATCAAATTCTAATTGAATACACCTAGAATGTTATAAACTTTTTTAAGATCCTAATTAAATGCATCCAGATTTCTAAGGATTTTAATAAACTATCTTAAAATTCTGATTGAATACACATTGAATTTTAGAGAATTACTTAAAATCCTGTTGAATACATACAAGAAATAAAATCCCTCAAAATCTCAATTGAATAAACCTCCCTTCATGTGTGAGACGAGACACCCACGGAATTGCTCTAAGGCAACTAGGATACATTGGACTTCAATCGCTGGCATATGTCATGAATACATTGTCCATAAAATGATTTCTTAAGTCTAATTCATGCCCTCGTCCTAACATTGTTGATATTTATATGCACATAAATAATATATTTCATAATAGTCAACTTGTTTTTTTCGGGTCAATTACGTGTTAGTCTTCAAATCATATAAAAAGTGAGAAAAATATAAATATTTGTGTGAATTTAATACTTAATTGTGACTGAATTATTATAATAATGTTGTTGGATAAGAAAATTTTCTTAAAGTATTTCGTATTTAAGCAGGATACTTTATATGTCATAAGCTAAATAAAAAAACACACAAAAAAAATCATTTTCTCTACTTATATACATTAAGTAGTATCTAATTTATATAAATATGAGTAAAATATATATTTGATGTTTAATTGCGACTGGTCTTTTAATAAGGGGTCCACACACCTTATTTTACTTCTCACACACCTTTTTAATTTTCAACCGTCGGATCGAATGAATTGAAGAAGATCAACGGACAGAAATTATTAAAAGGTGTGTGAGAAGTAAAATAAGTTATGTAGATATCACATTCCTTTAACAATTGCGTAGCTCGATAGTAGGTGAATGATTTTGTTAAAATATATGGGCAGTCCGCGCGTGGTCGGACGGGCTGCCAGAGCCACGTCCCACCGTTTCAAAACCCCACCTTCTTCTTCTTCCTTTTTTTCTTCTTTCCGGTTGCAGCAGAGAAAAACATAAACTGTTTAATTGTTAAAACAAAGTTCCGGCATCCAGTTTCGGTAATTGCGTTTTTACTTGGTTGTCTTTGCTTTTCTTAATTTAGTTAAGCCTCCCGAGACAATTCCGTCAGCTTTACTTATTAGCTTTTTCAATAATATTACGCAAGACTAAATAATTAGACGTCTCGCTTGCTTGCAGATGTGAGATTTTCAACTAAGAAAGTGATCAGTGAGAAAATAAAAGATGAACTGGCTAAAATACTCGCTATTTGTTAATTTCAATAAAAAATAATCACTTTGGTACGGTATATAGGGTTAAATTTTGGGGTTTTGAGTTTGTTTGCTCGTTGAACAAGCACTTCTTTTCATAAGATTTTTCACAGTCGTTTATGTGAGTTTTGATTTCTATATATACAAATCAGTTATTTTGAGCTTGATTGCCATGACACAATTGCCATAGTGGTGGGAGTTTTATAAGAGTCAGTTCTGTCTATCATTTATGACTCTAATCTAATCAGGTCATTTATTGTATAAAAATCACACTCGTTAGTTTAATATATTGAAATCAGTTTCATCTAACTAAAATTTTACACGTTAACAGCTACAATTAAATCGGCACACAGCGTCATGCCAATAAAACAAAGAATTTAACAAAAAATTTCATAAGTTTTTATATGACATGTAAAACTATCTTCCACGCGTGTTATGTAAGTCTCGTCGTTTCATTGAAATCTCTCCACACTGTAAAACGAAGTTCTCTAGCCGGGTCCCATCTGGTACTCCCTAACAGATTCCCACGCGCATTTACAGGGCGTGAACTCCATCATTATTATTCCCAACTCCATCTATCTGTTTGTGACTGCCCCCCTTCCTCCTGTTATATTTCCCTTTCCAAAATCACACCTAATCTCTCTCTCTCTCTCTCTCTCTCTATTGTTTGTGACCGGTGATTTTGTTTTGATTGTTGAAGCTCATTTTTGCAATCATATCCTAGGATTTTGTTGCCGAGTCAGATGACAGCTCCAAACATGGCGAAGATCGCCGCTTCTCTGGAGAGGTCTCTCCAAAATTGCTCCCTAAACAACCACAACCACCACCACCACAACCACAGCAGCGGCGGCGGCGGCAGCATCACAGTCGACGGCGAAGGACAAGGCTCGAGCGTCACTGACGGGGTATTGGCCGCCACGGGGATGCAGGGCAGGTCATCGTCTTCAACCTCATCAACCTCAGACGCCACTTTAGAGCTCAACTCCCATGTCTCCCTTCCATACCATTGGGAACAATGCCTCGATTTAAAGGTTGATTTTTCGTTTAAATTTTAATTTCTCTCTTTTTCCCTGTTGATTGTTGGAAGAAACACAATCCATTAATTAGTTAGTATTTTTTTTTTCCATTTTTGAAGCTTCAATAAATGCAGTAAACACAGCAGATCTTGCAACTCCTTAAATGAAATTCCTTGTTGTATTTAATGCTTTATGCTCTCTGTAATTTCGTTAATTTTTGCATTTAATGCTCCATGCCCTTTGTTATAAAATCTCAGAATCAAGAACTTTTCATACCAAAAATCCAGAGAAAGGGAATAAATGGTTTTTTATTATTTTTGATTTTATCAAACTTTTACTTTAGGCGATAGGAAAAAGAGAAAAGCTTTACTGGGTTTGACCATCTCGTGTTGCAGCAATAAAAAGATATAAACTTTTTACTTTTCTGTGTTTAATCTTTTGTCAGATTTTCGTCTCCTGGTTATTTAGTACATTTTCTTCGAAGAGTAAAGGCAAAACCTTTTTCTGTTTGAATAATTGCATTGTCTCAAACAAGAAAAAAAGAATATGGGTTCAATCACATGTAGTCGTTTTCGAAATAAAGTTTACATATTGTGAATTAATTCCTTCAAAGAAAATAATTGTGTTCTTGAAGCGTTTTATATAAAACTTATAGTTCTCGGGCGTTTGTTTTTAATATAAAGGTTGATTAATTATTTGCAGACAGGGGAGGTATACTACATAAACTGGAGGAACGGGATGAAGGCGAAAGAAGATCCGAGGACAAGAGGAGAGTACAGTGGAGATTTCTACTACTCGGAAGAAGATGAAAACAGCTCGTATGACAGCGAAGAGTCTTCGACCGAGTCGTCGCCATCTTCGTGCAGATACGAGCAGCACCAGCAGCCGGTAGAGAATCTCAACAGCAACAACAATAATAATAATAATGTGTTGGTAGTGGCTGGCTGCAAAGCCTGTCTCATGTATTTCATGGTCCCGAAACAGCTCGAGGACTGCCCCAAATGCTCCGGTCAACTTCTCCACTTTGATCGATCCGAAAATGGCTCCCCATGATCATCACCCGCTCACATTCATTTTCTTCTTAGTTTCTTAGTTAATTTTAATTTGTTTTTAATCATGTTTTGGCTTTTTTCACCTAGAACAAACCCTTTTGTGCTCTGAGAATATGAAACTACAGACAAATCACAAATGGGTTTTTAGTTTTTAGTATTTAGTAATTTTGTAGTTTAATTTGTTGATTGCTTAGCTCCTTTATTTTATTTTATTTTATTTTTTCTTGTCAATTATTTTGGAATATTGAGGGAGGCCATGGGAAGTGGAGGAAGAGAGGAGTCCTACAGTGCCAGCATAGCACCACAAACAAGGTCAATGGTACAATAGTTGGTAATGATTGCGACGTGTAGGTTTCCTTCTCTTTTATTCCATGAAAATGATGAATCCATGATGGTCTCTCTTTTATTTTATGTTTATCTTCTCATTTTTCTATATTTTTTATCCGATTTATTCGTTAAATAATTTATTTTTGGTAAATTAATTCGTTGTTATTAATCAAAGTACTCGTTAATTATCATGCGAAGCTCCCAATATCTTTGAATTTTCCTTTTGGAAGAGGACAGGTACTAATCAATCGTACGCTTTTGTATTTGGTAATTTTTCTTTCTTATCGATTGATTTGATGTCAGTTTATCATACTAGATCAGGGCAGATTCATGAACATCCTGTTATGGTGTCAAATACAAGGGTTTTCTCCAACAAGGAGGTATTTCAGCGGCTAAATTGTGACTGTCAAATTTTAATCATGTAAATCTAATCGTTTCCTACATTGGTGCTTATCATACACTGATGGATTATAAAATTATGGCAAAATTCGGTGCATGTTTGAATGTGGAGTGTTTGATAACATGCTGGATTAACAAAAATGTTAAACTTACTATATTTTTCTTACCACATTTGTATCACCTATCTAATATTATTTTATGCTTGTAACGGCCAAAATAAAGGTGGTCATACAAAACAATATTTGTCCACACCCCACATCCAAATTCAAAGGTAAAATCTCTCCCTCTTTCCATTTTCCCTTACAACTCTTTAATTCGAATTATTGGTTAATTTTTGTTTTCCAATTGAAGTAACAAACGACATGAGTAATAAGTATTTCTCTCTCTCTCTCTCTCTCTCTCTCTCTCTCTCTCTATATAGATAGAAATAGTCTTTTTGCAAAGTAAAGATAAAGCTGCGTATGATATACGTTCTTTCCCGACCTTCAGAAAACGAAAAACCTTGTTAGTTTGGAATCACCCTATATATAGCCCAACAATTCCAAAGTTGTGGATTGAATTTGCACGCGTGAAAGTACCGGATGGGGCGGAGTGGAGTTCGACTTGGTGGCCAAGGTAGGTGGATAAAGCGATGGCATTGGCATGTAGCTCAAACCAAAAGCTTTTGGAGTTCTGGTGACCAAAAATCTCACAAATTAAAATAAAAGTCAAAATTTAGGCTGTCCAAACAAATAAATTGTTAGCCTAACCAGCCACCATGCCTAAATGCCTATGCTGCCGATCGAGCTGTGTATGTTTAGGCTTTTTTTTTATTTTTTTATTTTTTTTTTGGAAAAAGCCTGTGTATGTTTAGTTTGGTCAACTGCTTGACACAGGAGAAAGAAAACCATGTAACCGTACTGTGGAAGAGATTAGGGGCACGGAAGACAAACCCTGTCGACATAAAATTCTCAGTCCCACAATATCTTTGCCTTTTTTTTTTTTTTTTCACTGTCAAAAGATGACAACTTTGGGGGTCCCACTCTCCCAACTTCTCCATGATGTGTCCATTTGTCAATGATGTTTTAACTTTTAATTGACCCTGTAATCAACTCAATAATTCTTTAGTAGAAATAATTTGGGCCCTTTGACCTCCAAGCCATTTTAGTCATTCACTTTTTTCTGCCGTATGTTGTAAGTGTTGGTCGATGATTTGAGGGAAGGTGGTTTGTTCTTGTCATTGCGTCTTTATGTATTCCTACGTGACAACTATATTTTCATCCACAAGATTGGACATATCATCCAACAAAAATGTTAGAGAGATATTCGTACATCAGTAGATTATATTCACACATCCCAAATTACTTCTTTCATATTCTTTTAATTTTTTTAATATTTTTCTATCAAGTGTTAGTGGTGTGTAGAAAATATTAAAAAATTAAAAGAGTGTGGGAGAAGTAATTTGAGGTGTGTGAATATAATTTCTCCTGTTTTTATCTCTGCATATCTAGACATTCTTAATTAATTTTATAGCTAACTACATTTTACATCTTTCATGTTTGGGATGATTTTAAAATGGGACACGAGGTTTCAATTTTCTCATACGGCTCCATTAGGTTTTGAAAATATTTGAATTTTCGTTGAATTGATAACCTAGTTATCATGAAAGCCGTTACTAGGTTGATATATAAGTCACATTTGCATCACATTGACTAAAAAAATTCATCAATCTATGAATAATTAGGCATTCAAATATACAAAAGGTGTAAATTGATATGGTTTTTAAAACCATAAGAGGCAATGTCAGAAAATTAAAACTTCATGACCTAAAAATCACCTCAACTCTTGACGATATAAAAGGTGGTTAGCCCTTAATTTTATCTGAATTAAAGAAAAATCAAATGACATCAACGAACGAGCTTATTTGAAGATAAAACAAGTGCAGGAGTCATATCTTAAAAGTTGAAACGCTTGTGTTGACCCATGAAATTTGGCAAGCACAAAACGATGAAATTAAGCCCAAACAGCAAGAGAGAGAGAGAGAGAGAGAGAGGATGGTGAAGCCATGGTTTACCTGGCCTAATACGGCAGTGTTGGAGAGAAACCAAAGTTAATTAGTGACTCTAATTAAGCAAAAGGCACACTAAGTAAGCATATCCAATTAAACCAAAAGGCCCACTAAATAAGCATACTTCCATGTCACATCTTGCAACCCTAATCCTGCACCAATTTTGAATTGGTGTAGGTAAAAGTTACAAAGAAAAGCAAATATCTGAAGCGAATCCAAATATCTCTTTCAAAACTTTACCTGCTGCAAATCACAGGTACCATGTCCTTATTTTGATTCCACCAGCTGCTAAGCACACCACAAGAAAGACTGCCTTTGGAAATAGAGACATTTTTTTGTATAACTGAGATATCTCTTGTAATGTTTATGCTAAAAATAACAAGTAGCATTGAAAAGTAACTCGCGCGCCCCATCAAGATTAAAAAGTAATTATATGATGCTGTATATGGTTCTCATTTTTAATAATAGCAATACTAGTTACGTGATCATATATGTGGGTGTTATGTTGGAAATTCTAGCTTCGAAGTAGAATTGAATAGCAGAAGTTGAACTGCATAAAAGTGTAGAATAAATATCGACATATATGTGGTGTGTGAAAGCGAAGGAAGAGGCTGTGACAAGTGACAAGGTGTGGTGCAGGGTGCAGCTAGCGGTTGGATGTGTGGACGTGAGGCCCTCCGTCCTAAAAGATTCGAATTTCAGAGAGAGGGAGAGAGAGAGAGAGAGATAGTGATGCTTAATCAAATTGGTATAACTGAAAGAGATCAAGTAAGTAAGATGCATGGATGCGTATGGTCCAAGAGGGAGGAGTAGTACTACCAGTGATATATATGGTACATACGGGGTCTGAAGACTGGCGGGTGTGTGGGGGCAAACAAAGGAACCTTTCCTGCAGGCTTTCGTTGCCAGAAACCAGAAAGGAATCTATGCGTCGATCGAAGAATGCAGTGAGTACTGTGGAGTGTGGACTGTGTAAAAAGAAGGAGATGAATTATTATGCAGCTAGGAGATGAAAGGTGAATTATTATTAGAGGAAAGAGGACTTTAAAGATATATCGTCCTTTGTGTCTTGGTGGTGAGTTGGTCAAAGACAAAAGGACTGACAGATACTAGTAAGTACTGCAGGCAATTTGATAAGGACTCTCTTAACTCACTCGAAAATTCTATTATGTTCTAGTGTACACATGCACACCGTTTGAATAAGGCATCAAATAAACGTACAGATAAAGATCCAACAATCAAATATTCAAACGCTCCAGTGATTTGAATAAGGCATTGGATCAAGATGTGCAATTAAAGATCCAACGGTCATGAATTCAACCCACACAGATGACAGTGTATAATACATATACACAGCTCAGTTGTCTATTTATTTACCATCTCTCTATATGTTTTCCTTTGTGATCTAGACGTTTCTCTGCACAAATGGAATCTCTGTCAATCTGTCCCTCTCTCTTTCCCTATCCCCCGTTTGTTTCTTCAATTTTGCATCTTTTCCCAACCCTCAATTACTAATACACATCACTTAAACTAATTGGACAAATATATTCAGTCTATTCTACTTAATATTGTTAACCCTTTTAGCTACTTTCAATGTTGTTAACCCTTTTCATGGATCAAGCCATGCAATTGTTAATTTTACGATTTTATTATTTTAATTTACACTAGAAGAATGTGATGTTTGAATTCAGAACGCAGTGATTTAAAGAAGAATATTCCTAATTATTAAAGCAATTATTTTAAGAGAAAATTTGATTGAATTTCAACTTCATTAGCCACTATCAGTGCCTGTTCGAACCTTAAAGACTCCCTCCAATATCCATCATTCTTCCAGTCCCATATATCCTTCCATTTCAAGTATATGTTGGACCCCAATTTCCAATATTAGTTTACGAAAACAATATTGGGTTATGTTACAGCGTGTGACTCTCCAAACTACAACTAGCCATGTACAAGAATGACGAAAAAACCAAAGATGGTCCATTGGGCTTGCCCACCTTGGATGAGTCCATTTGCCGGTCTTCCTACTTAATTTTCACGAGTCTAAAGAAGGTCCAGTGGGCTTGCCCACCTCGTAGTTTTTTAATTCATATTTTCTATTTAATTTTAAATATTAAGAAAGTTATTTAGTACTACAGTCTAGTGATATTCTTTTTCACTTGTAAATTAAAGGTCTTAGGTTCTATTTTTCCTAAAGACAAATTTGGACCACATTATTGTCAGCCTATTATGAGGCTAAGACAGCCCCCTCTTAGTGTAAGTAATATCGTTTGTTCAAAAAAAAAAAAAATAATTAGAAACCTAATTTACAAGTTTCATATGCCTCACACTCTTTGGGTAGCTGACTATACTAGCAGGAGAAGATCTAAAATGAGCATTATTAAATTTTAGAGAAGTTGATTGAGGAATGTTGCAATGTTGTCAGCTCTTCGTATTTTGTTTTCTTTTTCATAGACTTATTTCTCTGTTTTAAGCATCTAAATTTCTAATTATTGTACAATAAAATAAAGGAAAAGGATGTTGAAGAATGCAGTTCCCACGTCAAAAACTTAACAGAATAGATTGTATTTTATATTAAATGGTTTCGCTGCTAATCAAACCAATAAAACCTTAAACATATGCCAGATTATACATGCGATTAAGTTAGAATAATATCAACGCAGTTAGTAGTGAACCATTAACACATCTCTTGAATCTTGACTAAAGAGCCATTTTTAATCTTTAGTCATTGTGGTTTTGGTAAAAAGACAGATTTGTTTTTTATTTCTTCTTTGTAATTGGTAAACGATGGAGTGTTAGGTGTCAAAGAAAAGTGACAGTGTTTCTTGACTGATAGGTGAAAGTCTGTTGAGGATGGATGTTAGGTTAAACTCGTGGATGACTTTTGACTTTGATCGACCTGGTGCAACACCAGCTTTATTTATTACCCGGATTTTCATGGGGACGGAAGATGGATACTGTGATTAATCAGGTGTAATGTTGAGATGAATGCATGTGGAAGAACGTTACCAAAAGAAAAAGGGCTTGATAATTAGTACTTAAGCAAAGCAATGAGGTACCAACCAGTTCCCGGTGAACCTCCGCCTCCCCCAGAGTACGGGCAGCCGCCACCGCCACCTCCACCTCCACCAGAGTACGCGCCACCGCCACCTCCACCAGAGTATGAGCCACCGCCGCCACCTCCACCGGAGTACGGGCGACCACCACCTCCCCCAGTGTATGCGCCACCGCCGCCACCACCAGACTACCCTCCCCCTCGTCCTCCTCCTCCTGGCCCTCCACCACCTGGCTATCAGGGTTACTTTTATCCTCCGCCGCCGCCAACCACGACCCCACCACCGCGGCCTTCAGTACAAGACAATGATGGCCCTGACTGCGGTTCAGTCCTTAAAGGCTGGTATGTACACGCTCTCCCTCTCCCTACTTCTTTCACTTGCTAGCTTTGAGTTCGTTCCATTAATAGTTTGATCATATCATGTTTGTCATGAACTGAGTAATTGTGTGTTTTACTCTTTTGCTCCTTTGCATTTCTCAACTTTTTAAGGACAAAATAAATCTAATTTCTTGATGATAATCAGCTCCAAACTTATAATTTATAGTAAAAACTGAAATTATTTTCCAATTGACACTAGGATTAATTACAACAATATAACAAGTTTTCATTTTCTCATTGCTTATGAGTCATGACAATCATATTTTATTAATTTTTATTTCTATTTTCATCCAGTTCCTTAACTTAATCTAAATTATGAAGAGGGGGATTAGAACTTTGGTGGATATCCAGTGTGACTACGTTAACTTAACCTAAATTATGAAGAGGGGGATTAGAACTTTGATGAATATCCAGTGTGACTACGTTCGCGTCTGCAATTAAGCTTCTACTTTTAAATGCCTAAATTCTAGATTGTAGGACAGTAAAATCTACTTTTTGGCTTCCTTAATTTGTTCTTGTTCCACTGCTTCACCTCCACTGACCCCTTCTGTCTTGTATACATCGTTTTCAGTTTGGCTGCAATTTGTTGCTGCTGGATATTGGACGCTTGCTGCCCTTAGGCCATTACATACTACATACATCTGCTCGACAAGCAAGCACATTAACAATAACAATTGCACGGAGATAATTAAACAGGGGAGCGCTTTTAGGATATGAAACCCTTGTGCTTACTTTATTTATGCCCAATAAAACTACCCAAATTAGGGATCTTATCTTAGATAACCTCAGTCCGATTCATACTTAATATATTATTTATCATCATAATAATAATAATTTATATTGTTGATTTCAAATACTTATTTGAGGAATGCGGAAACTCCTGTATAATTAATCGCTGTGTTAAAGCAAACTTAGCTAATTGATGGCCCCTTGTTGCTGCTGCTTGTTGGAGAACCGCTAGCTGCTAGTCGGCAGAGGATATATGCATCACCTCTTGTCTATATGTAATTCTGGTTTCGTCGTTGGATAAAAGTGTGCATCTTTTATGTAGTTATACATTATATATAAGAGACTTTAAAACTTACTCCATACTCCGAACACTCGCAATACCGTCACGTAATTTTACTATTTCACTAAACAAACGCTATAAACATATATAATACATGAGGTACAGACGAAAATGAACCATCTACTAAACATACAAAGAAACAAATCAAAGCTAAACTACGTAAACAAAATCTGGAAAGGAAGATGACGATCTTAAGCATCCAAAACGTGAAATCTTCCTTCTAGTTGTTCTAGCCAGGAACCGGCTGCACTTGCTGCACCGCATTCCCAGCAGCTCTGAAATCTGCTACAGATTCGAAGATGTGATGGGATGCCTTGTCGAAACTAACAAAACCCATAAACCAGAATTCATGGCCATCTGTGGTGACGATCTGAATGTACTTCTCCGGCGGATTCTCTTTCATCACCACAGGGTTCACGGTGCTTATATTTCCCAAAGGTATAGTCACCTGTTCAACATTAATACAGATTTACAGTCAGCTCAAATCATAATGTTAAATCGCGACAACTGAAACTTTACAAGCATAGTAAAACATGGCTCAAATTATAGAGTAAAACCATGATTGGACAGTTAATTTAAAGTTATTTACCTTGTAGTAACTCCAAGTTGCTTGTCCAGACGGAGCAGTAAAAGTCAGAGGACGATCGCTGCAAAAAGCCAGTCTAGCAGTCGACAGATACTGAGTCCCGGCAACCGGCCCCGTCGACGTCGAAAGATAACAGGCAAACGTCTTCTTCAACTTCTCGTTCGGGTCAGTCGCGAAAATCTGCTTAAACAGCGACTCGAATCCGCCTTCGGATAAGGCTTTCGCCGTCAAGTTCACCTTCCCCCACGCCGCTTCAGGAACAGAGGGCCCCGTTTTGAGGTTGTACCAGATGTTCCTGGCCATGGTCTCCGCCTTAGCGCTCCAGGAATTGAACGCTTGGATAACCGGCTCAAAGGGGTTGTTGGTGGGTTTGTCGATCGGAGAGTACTGGACGTAGGGCTGCTGGTGGGGGATTTGCTGGTGGTCGGCGGCTTTCCATAGGGCGGCTTGCTGGTTGTCTGGGTGGACGTTCGGGGCTGCTGGGGTGCCCATGATGTGGGTCCCCCATTTCTTAGTGTCCTCCGCCTCTGGTGGTGGTGGTGGTTGCTGAGGGGGCTGTTCGGAATCGGGGGTGAGTTTGTTCAGGTGTGGCTGCCATGGTAAATTGGACGGAGATTGGAGGGTAGAGTTGTAGTGTGGAGATGATGAAAGATGAATCGAAGATATTTGTTTGGATTGCGGATTGAAAGGAGGTTTTTATAGAGGAAGATTGAGGATTTTGGATGCTTCCGGGGGGAAGGAGTTGCGGGAGAGTGGATTAGGAAGAAAAGAATCTCAAAACAGTCGTTTTTTATTGGGTTATTTTGGTAATTTGAAAGGGCAAAGGATGCTTCGAGTTCCCCGTTACAAGATTAGTTCGTCCTCTGTCACCGACTCACCGTCATATAGCATTTGTGATCGTCTTTTTATATTTATCCTATTTTAAGTTTTATTGCTAGCAATCTTTAGACTAATATTTCTATTCGGATATTTTCACTTTCTTCATAATTTTAAAAAAAAAATCTTTAGACTAATATTTCTATTCGGATATTTTAAGTTTTATTGTTATACAGCCGCTTACAATTAAAGAATCTTTGAATTCGAATATCATAATTGAAACGTTCATTACCATTATCTAAAAATTATATTTATAAAAAATTTATTCAATTTGAAAATTATTTATTTATAGGTGTTAAATGACAATAGTTTTAATCAAGTAATATATTTACAATGAAATGTCTTTTTATTTTATACATATGTATGATTCAAAAATCTTTAAATTGAATTTTTTTCTTTCTTTCTTTAAACTAGCATATGGGCACACACAAAGTGTGTGAGATAATTTTTTATTTTTGTTTTTGAAATAGAAGGAGAGAGGAATAGCGTGATAGAGAATGTGGGAGTGGGAAGGTTTTTTTTTTTTTTTTTTAAATTTTATTTTGATTAGAATATATTAGGATTACATGTATGTGTGGTTTTGAAGAAAAAAAGGTAAAATTTGATCGTATGAAATTACATTTCTACCTCATATTTCTTATTCATATTCTGTTTTATTTAGATGGTTAAACTGGTAATTTTATAGGATTTTGGTTGACAATAAGTGTTTTATTAATTAGTAGAGATAGTATAATTTTTAAAAAATTATATTTTAAAATAATAATTAAAAAAAGAACAGTTTTAATTAGGACATTAGAAAACAAGTAAGTCCCTATGAAGAGACATAAGTATTAGGAAAATTTTATTTGAACCCATCTAACTTATTTCTACACTCAGCTTACTCTTTATACCCATATTGTTTTAATTAAGCTATCAATATCTCTTTAAACCCAAATTTACTACCTCAACTACCCACAGAAACCCAATTCAACATGTAAATTTATTTTTATACCCATTTGAAAAATAAAAAACCAAAATCAAAGCATTCTCTCCTTGTCATTCTCTCCTTCCAACAATTGCTTTTGATGGCCATTTAGTAATACGGTCTGGTGATATTCCTCTTCACTTGTACGTGAGAAGTCTTATGTTCAATTCTTGCCGTAGGCGAATTTGAACTACATTATTGCTAGCCCATTATGAGGCTAAGCCCACCCCCTCCTGTAGATAATATCGTTTGTAAAAATAAATAAATAAATAAAACAGTTGCTTTTGATGGAGTCTCCATCACCCACTACAACGTTGCTCTGCATGACCATATTTGAGTTGGAGAAAGGCCTCATTGAATTTGAGTTTCATCCAACTGTTGTAACGTTCTTGGGAGGTCCGCATAAACAACACTAATGAACTTAAAAGATTTTCTAATATCTTTTCGATTTATCAATCTGCATATATTTTATATGAATTATATGTAAGTTGTCATTTTTAAGAGAAACTTAAAAGATTAGAAAGACGAAAAAACGAGAACTATTGTGATGTCAAAGAAAGAAGTATTAAAAAATAATGAACAAGTACACAAATGTAAATTGAAAAACCACATTTTCTTTTAACATTATGAGTTTATGAACACCACATTAAGTTCAACCAAAAAAAACCTTCAATATCATGTGATTTCTAACTAATCAAGGAATTGTCAACACAAAATTCAACCTTGTCAGATAATTAAAAGCATGTGACCATAATGTACTTGGTTTAAAATCATTACTGACGGATCTAATCTCAAAACTCATCCCGGAAACAAAGTGTTAATTAAATTAAATAGGTATAAGCCAATTTATTGAGTTTTGTGAATAGAACGTAGAAGAAAAATTATATGATGATTAGGATTCGATTATTGGATATGGGTTTATTGATAAGTTAATTATTTAATTTACCCTTATAACTATTTATCCCACATATCTTCCACATTTTAATATAATTGGTATCCTATATTTAGTCTGGGTCCAAATAACCTTTTCCTAATTTATTATTAATAATAAAATGTGACATAGGGAGGGGCATGATCTAATGTATATTCTAAGATACTAACGTATTAACAAATTGGGGGTGGGAACCACGTACTTTTTGTTGTGTGAACCACACAAACCCGATGGTCCCTCCTAATTTTTCTGTTGCGCTCCTCGTGTAACTTTGGAGTTGTACAAGGTAAAAAGACAATGAGTAAAATTAAGTCGGCCGAAAGAATTGGGCCCCTCCCCACCTGTTCACGATATTTCGCTTTGGGCCCCAACCACGCCCTCACGGTTTGTTTCTGGGAACTTACACGAGAACTTCCCGATGGGTCACCCATTCTGGGAATGCTCTCGTGCGCTACTCGCTTAACTTCGGAGTTCCTACAGAACCCGAAGCCAGTGAGCTTCCAAAAGACCTCGTGCTAGGTAGGGATGAGAATATACATATAAGGATCACCCCTGGGCGATGTGGGATGTCACAAATATCTTTAATGCTTTTGCCAAGAAAGTAACGATGAAAACAAAAAATAGAATTTCAAAAGTACAAAAAAGGGTTTTTTTTATTTTTTTTATTTTTCCTGTAATACAACACCTATCATAGAAAAAGTGAGAATAATGCAAGGATCATGACAAAGGTTTGTGCCACTGTTTACCATATCTTATATGCTTAGGGTACACGTAATATTAGAGAGATTAAATTTTTTAAATCGAATTGCATTTTTTTTTTCGTTATATATTGGGCAGCTGCCACGTTGCGTTCTTTTTTGAAAAAATGGCATTGCGAGGACGGTGACAGTTGGAGAAGTATGCCTTGGCCAAGTGTCAAACTTTTTTCAACCGACTGATGACACCTAAGGGAATGAAATGAGCCCTTCCAAATTCCAATCCAACTGATATTTCCTGAAAGTTGTTTTTTTATTAGATCGGGCAAAGCACGAAGCTTCTTGGCAGTTTCCTCTACGTACGCCAACGTTATTATATCAGTGAGTCGGCGATTAGGATAAATGGTGCGCGCAGATAAACGTTTGCATTAACTGGATCGACGTAACGTAAGATCCCAGCTTAGTTTTTTAATTTGATTAATTAGATCCTTATTGCAAATAGAATTTCATCAATGGTTAACCTGTATGGAATTCCTACTAGGGTTTTAGATTTGATGCTTATATAAACCATAATCTTTGATTTATTATTTTTGTTGTTTTTAACTTTCCGTTGGACTAATTCTTTACGTTTAACTTTAGTCCCTCCCATCTGGTCATCTTCTACAGTTGGATTAAGCAAAAGAATGAGTTACAACGTTGTCCATGTTCAACATGAGCAGCATCATCTTCCACCAGGCAAGTCACCTGCTAATTCTAAATTAATTTCCCCCCATTTATTTGTGTGATTTAATCCATTAATTTGTGTGGTTTGTTTGGTTTAACTGACTGAATTAATTGGTTTAATTTTAAAATTCTTTGGTGGTGGTTGTGAGTCTGTGACAATGGAATTTCAGGGTATCCGCAAGAGTATCCTCCGCCGCCTAATGACTTTCCACCTCCTCCGCCACGGCCGGGATTCCCAGATCCCTATCCTTCTGCTCCGGGACCTTTTCCGCTACCCCATCATCAGGAACATGGATATCAGGGTTACTTCTATGAGGGCTACCAACCGCCACTTTCGGCTGCCCCGCCGCCTCTCCGCCCGTACCATCGCTACCACGAATACGATGGCTGCTCTTCCCTCCTTAATGGCCTGTGAGTCTTTCCGTCCACTTCTTCGATTTATGCCGTCCAATTTACTTTTTATTAATTATTTATCAAATTGATTGTGAATTCCAAACCTTTTAAAATGACTTTTATGAAAATGTTTTTCAAACAAATTTTTAGTAAAAGTACAAAATACGAAGTGAATCATGAAAAATTTGAAGTACTTCTAAAAAAAGCATCAGTTATGTAATGTTGAAAGTACTTCGCAAATGAGCACCAGTATGTGACGTTGAAAGCACTTCACATGCTTTTAGAATTTACAAACATTTTTTTTTAAAAGCACTTTCAAGCAAATGATGTATCTTTTGTGCTTGAACCGCATAAATTAGTGTTTTCTCTTATCTATCCCTTAGTCATTCTCCAATTGATTCTTACTTGTTAAATTTCTTTGGTGCCCCATTACAAAGTAAACTGGGCTTTTCTCTAACGATTAAAATATTGAGTTTGAAGTGTTTTTCTCTAATTAGATTATCGCAGCCAAATGCCGTATTTTCCTTGGGAATTTGATGCTTTACTTTCAATGATTGAAACAAAAGTATCGGTTTTGCTTTGTTGATTGATGTCTCCGTCTTGTTGTTTACAATTTGTGCAGTTGCGCTGCACTTTGTTGCTGCTGCCTGTTGGAGAACTGCTGCTTATAGGCCGATCGAGTATATATAAATATAATTGTGCTTGTGAAGCCAAAAAACCTGCAGCGTGTCTGTATGATTGGATTCTGTTTTGCTCCAATTCCATCAATTTGTATGTTAAAACTTTTTGTTGTTAAACGTTCAACTTCAATAATATATTAACAAGTACATTCATTTTTGACAAATTACATATTCTTGTTATCTATTATATGTGTCTATATATTCATTCTCAATTCATTTCATTTTAATTATAATTAGTAAACGAGCCATTAGGTTATTTAAGTTAGAGAAAAACAGAAAGACATGGGAAGTTGCAAAACCCCACACCACTCCTACAATGCAGAGGCACATAATAGATCGATATGAACACCACGCGCTGTGCCGTAATAAAGTCG